GATTTCGCCCGCCCCGGCCCCGTGGGGGAGTGGGGGGGAGCGCCACAAGGGTCTGTAAGTTGAGCCATCTGTAAGTTGAGGGTCCACTGTACCCTCATTTCATGCAAACTCTGCCAACTCTATCCTACCTGGCTAGCTTCTGTATTTAAGAACAAGGGGCATCACTGCTTGACCAGCTCTGTGGGTTATTTGCTTCTTCACCTACCCCCAACTTTGCTTGAAGAATTCTAGAGAAACTTGACCTTGTTTGTGACTTTTTAGTGATGCGTTAAAAGATATTACCCAATTCAGAACTTTATCTCTATGAGTGGCTGCTTTTTTCATTATTGATAAATATAACATGCACTTTATATTCCATCCAGCTTTCTTTTTTCATATTTCAGATTATATACTTTTTAGTTCATTTACATTGTGGAATATTTTAGATTAGATTAGACATCCTTTAGTCTTGAGAGACTATGGCAACCTGTGGAGTATTTTAGATTAAATTAGACATCTTTTAGTCTTGAGAAACTATGGCAACATGCTCTGAATAGAGGACTTGGAACAGCATCTAGTGTGGTTGAGGAGGCCAATTCGAGAGTGACAATCCCTTCCACACTGAATGCAAAAACAATCTGTATTTGTCTTCAGCTCCCTGATTTTGCTGGTTTCAGGACTGCCTCTTTGCCTCGGCCTGCTGGACAAGTGTCTTTTCATAATGGGAGAGGCCGTGATGCACCGCCTACCTCCAGGCTGAATGCTCAGATTTCAAGGTTTCCCATCTGTTGAGGTCCATTTCTAAGGCCTTCAGATCCCGCTTGCAGATATCCTTGTCTCACTGCTGTGGTCTCCCTCTGGGGCAATTTCTCTACACTAATTCTCTATACAGGAGATCTTCTGGAATCCAGCCATCAGCCATTCTCACAACATGTCCGAGACATGTGGAGTATAAACCCACAGATATCTAATGGGCCTAACTCCCAGGACAGATATAACACTGTACGTACCCAAGAGTAAGGCCCCCCTGAACTTAGTAGGGCTTCCTTCTGAGTACTCTTCCACAGGTCTGCACTCTTCTTTGTGAACACCTCTTTGGTCAATTATATTAGCAACAAGTAAAATTAATTACAAAAAATGATCTAGTATTTTTCACTAAAAACTTTACAGAATTCTTCATTTTTCAGACATCAAATCCAGTTTTTAAACACTGTATAAAACTTGTTCAAATACAGCTATTTAATTCTTTTTTTAAAAAAGTAGTCCTCACTCTACTACAGGAGTTTTTAGTTCTGCTTGGCATTTAAGGTACTAGGAAGCTTAGAATGATTCACTATGTTTTCTTCCTTTTCCATCCAAGCCTATCTAATTCAGCAGAGGCAACTGCAGTTACATCTTTCTTTGGCCAAAATCCTGTAACTTTTGGTCTTTTCCTCTCTAGTCTCAGTCCCAATTCTTGGGGCACGCCTGCATACCCACTGAGCCAGCACGTGTGTGCATTCCTCAAGAATCATCGCAGGGACAGTTTTCTTTTACTGGGGAGGAACAGACCAAAAGTCACAATTTGGCCAAGCAACTGGAATTTGGCTTGAATTTCATGTCCATCCATGAATAGGATTAGTAATTCCATTACTATTGCCCCATAGTATATTATTGTTATAAGGGCTCTCATCCCAACAAAATGTGTACAATTAACCAAATGGCCTTCTTACATGCAGTGATGGAACGGTAAATTCTGAATTGTAGACACGTATCTTTATAATTTCTATACTCACAATCCCAATGAGAATTCAAAACTCTCATAAAACAAACCAGTTCCAATTTTTTTTTTTATCTTTACCAGAAAAGACTGGTAAATCTGATGTCTCTTTGAGAATAAGCCACGCAGCATACTTTCCATAATGATAGGGATAGCTCATATCAATACATTGTTGCTGGGGAAATTATCTCCCCCAATCCATCCCCAGCTACTGTGAGGACTGCAGCTAAGCTCAGATGGCAGAAGTCATTGTTTCTGGTAACCAGAAAGTCTTGAAGCACTGACTCTGCAAGCCCTGGCTTCACCACACCTTTGATTACACGTGATTAGCACTGAAATGTTTCTCTCTCTCTCTCTCTCTCTGTGTGTGTGTGTGTATTTAAGTGGAGATATGGGTCTGAATTTTAAAACCATTTGAGGTTGCTGTTGGTTTGGCTTTGTGGACTGAGTACGATTGCATGGGGACTCCATCTGTGGGTTCCTCTGTTTTTTTATTCATCAGGAATAGTTGTGGTGGATGCATCTCAGGCATCACACTATCCTGCTACGGTTACACCAACATCTGCTGCTTGGAAATAGAAAAAGTGAGGAAAAGAGAATTGTCACTCCAATCACTTCCAGTACCCACAACCATCATAATTTCTCAGTATATATAATGGCATATCCTCAAGATAAGCACATATCTCATTTTTTTATGCCTGTGGTTCTTCCAATATCAACACTCTTGAAAGAAAGACAGTTGTTTAAGGAAAATGTGAACCATCCCTGCATTTAATCAGATTGTATTATCTCAACATTGAGGGCAACTTTCCCAAGCTATTCAAAAGAACGAAGTAGATCTTAATAAGAATAATAATAAACAATCCCTTTTGTTATTTTGCGTGGTTGCTTCCTGATTTGTCTCATAGTAAAACCAGGTCAGCTACATCATTTAAAAAACACCTTCTGCTTCATCCCAGTCTGAGGAGTTTTGTCCAACACTGAAAGCAGCACTTCTCAAGGCTGTGGGATATCCTACCTTTTTAGTTGGGAACCTTAAAGATCACCATGCAGACCCCAGAGTACCAACTATAAAACACTGCCTGCAGGCAGAGGTGGGAACAAATAATACATACAAGACTAGATCCAGTCATAGAATTGCATATACAAATCTACACTTGAATTACAGATTCTGACACTGGCTATCAAGGATGCACAAATACCTAGTCAAAGGTTACTACTATGAAGAGTACACAGACTGAGATATGAGCCTCTGACACGTAAGGTCAGCCACAAGGGAATTGTTTACAGATTTCTATATGCTACCACTTAACCTTAGGGTATCAGAAACCCTTGCCAAACAACTGAAAATCATCGAGATCCCAATCTACTTTCATCTGTTCATGTTGTGGTTGAAGCCTTCATCACTAGCTATGCTGGTTTGGGTTTCTGGCAATTACAGTCTGTAGTGAGAATCCACTGGTCTTCACCTGAAACAGGTGCTCTTGCTAATAACAGTACAGCAGACTCAATTTACATTTTATCTGTCCTCCAGTCTCCTACTGGTTTTGAAAATTGTGTATTCCACCCATTCAAGATTTCATTCTACCTTTATGAGAAAGCCATACTTCGAAACCTCTTGGAAATCCATCCAACTGATTCTAGCAGAATTCAGTTTTAAGCAAGCACAAGAGGGGGAAAAACTAAGTTATACTTATTTATAACTTCTATAAGCAGGTAATAATTAATTGTACAGTACTGGCAAAGGAAGTGTGTTTCAAATACTGTATAAGCAGACCCACCTCCACAGGAAACAATATTCCTCAAGCCACAAGGAAAACCCTCCTGCCTCTCAAGAGGCTGTGTGATATTTTCCTCCACAGCTTCCATTCCTCGCATTTCATAAAACCAAACAAAGGTTGCTTTTCTGAGGCAGCCTTTCATCAGTGACACAACCCTATGCCCTATTTCCAGCCCTTGTAACGTACCCATGTCGACAAGGTACTAAGGGTTCCCTTTATTCTGGGGGGGGGGGCTCTAAGGCGCCTTCCCCGAGTTCCACAGCAATGGGGAACTTCGAAAGGGGCCTTTGAACCCCCTGCCGTCCGGTTTTCACGGGCGGGAGCCCAAGGACTCCCTGGGGCGCCCTCACACCCCGGCGCGTGCAGCCCTCTCCTCTCGTCCAGGCATTTTGCGCGCCTTTTCCCGGACAACCCACTGAGACCGACGGGCTTTCCTCCCGAGCCAGGCACTTCCGCGCGCTCCCCCCTCCCGCCCCCTGGCCACTTCTCCGGAGACCTTCAGCCCCCTCGGAACTCCGGGAGCCGACTTCCGAGGAGACTTGGGGGAAGACTGCGCTCCAAGCCTTCCGACCGCTTCCCGAGCACTGGGGCCGGTTCCTCCACAGACAAAGAGCCCCGTCCCAAGGCCTTCAGACACCTTACCTTCGGCCAACGGGCGGCCCCGTGAGAGAGAAAAGCAAGCCGAGGAGAGGAGACGCCTCTCTCCCAGCTCCTCGCCTCGCCCGACCGCGGCGCTCCAGCGCCCACCTGGCTCGCAGGAGACAAGCGCACCCCTGATGCTCCGCCAGGTGGCTTCCTCCCGCCTTTCCCTTCCGTCAAGACAAAAGCCAGGCAAGGGGGGGACCCCGC